CCATAAGAAGGGTTTACTGATTAATATTAATAATAATACTTGCTGTTTTTTTTTTTTCAAATATTTGGAAATTGAAATGTGTACAAAACACCAGATGAAGCCTATAAGGTTTACTGCCTATCCAAACATTTATTTTACGTGTTTGTTGTACATAGACAGAAATGCATGGTAAGTATTTATAGTACTGTATAGCACATACCATATGTGTGACAGCTTTTTCATGATCTTTCAGACATAGTGAACTGTCGGGGTCTGGCTTTAGACTGGCTTTCCAGGAACTTATACTGGCTCAGCTCGGAAAACGACGAGTCCCAAATCAATGTGGCTCGCTTTGATGGCTCCCTAAAGACGTCCATCATCCACGGCATTGATAAGCCAAGGTGCCTCGTAGTGCATCCTGCCAAAGGGTAAGTAGATTAGAGTAGCCTGTGCATTTCATGAGTGCATAACCTTCAGTGTATAGTATTAGAAAACGTTAAGCTGTGCAAAATGAGGATCAAAGCCTTGTGGGATAGAATTTGTAAACTTTAAAAATGTTGAAAATGAAAAAAAGACCCAAGGGTTTCTACTAAAACTAAACTAAGCTTACCCAGATAACAAAAAATCAATGAGTCAACACTGAAATATGGTTTGACATTGAATCCATGTTGAAATTATACAAAAAGTGGTTGGGGACTTGTTGAAATAATGTTAGGTTTTCAACCATAACTCATACTAAATCAATGTTGATTCAACATTGATTAGACTTTGGCWTTTCAATTATTACAATTCAACCATGAAACAACACTAATTCAATAACATCATTTCAATATTGGTTATTTGGCTAGAATTAGATTGTTTGAAGGTTGATCAATTGTCAACCTTAAACAAAAATCAACTTTTATTGTCAATAATTCAATATTGAATTAACATACTGTATTTTGATATCTGGGTGTATGTGTGTGTGTATATATACAGGTATATAACGTGTGCAACAATATATGTACCAGTATCGAACCGTTCAATACAGTGCTTTAGGTTCAATACACACTTGTATCGAACAATACAGATTTTTAAAATTTACTTTATCAACT